TTCTAGCCTTAATGGCGTAATGTGAACGAGCAATATCTGTCATAATATATTTTCACTACAACAACTAGTCTAGAAGAAATTATGCAACGAATTACTAAATAATTTGCTACGGTAAATGTTTTATGTTTATGAATATACCTAACGAGTTTTTATAGGCACCGCGAAAGCTTCCAAATGATCTATGAAGTCACATCGTGACCCGTCGACCTTGTCGCGCCCAAAATATTGAGCACAACATATATAAGCTGATCTTACCACATCGTGTGCATCAGTTGTGTCTGAGATAATCATAACAACATGTTCTCTAAAGTAAGTTAAAAAAATGTAATGTCAATGTATAAATACAATTTTATTTTAAAGTTTTAACATGATTATGTTTGATGTTGTAGATCGTTGCCCTGAGCGCAGTGTTGGCGGTGTCCGCAGCTGGTCTGCTGCCCGCGGCGCACTACTCCCCAGCTGGGGCCGTCTCCTCCCAGAGCATCGTACGCCACGATGAGGCTCACCCCGCCGCCCACGTTGCCCACGTCGCTGCCCCCGTCCACTACGCCGCCGCTCCCGTCCACTACGCCGCTCCCGTCGCCAAAGTGATCGCTCCCGCTCAGAAGGTTCTGGTCTCCGCCCACGCCGAAGAATACGTAAGTAGAATGCTTAGTTGTTGTTATGTTTAGATTTATTATGACTGATTAGTCTAATTGATGATATATTTGCTTCAGGCTCACCCCAAATACGACTTCTCGTACTCCGTGGCTGACGGACACACCGGCGACAACAAGTCCCAGCAGGAGTCCCGCGACGGTGACGCTGTGCACGGCGAGTACTCGCTGGTGGAGGCTGACGGCTCCGTGCGCCGCGTGCAGTACACCGCCGACGACCACAACGGCTTCAACGCGGTGGTCTCCAACTCCGCTCCCGCTCACCACGCGCCCGCCCCAGTCGCGCACGCCGTGCACGCCGCCCCCGTGTACCTCGCTCACCACCACTAAATTCCTCTCTCTAGTCCTAGCAAAGGAAATCCAAGCGATTATGCTGTGTGTCTTTGTGTAAATATTGATTAGTTAATTTATGATAAAATAAAACAAGAATACTTAGGAAAATATATACCTTTTTTTAATACCCTAAACATCTATCCGATAATCTAAAAATATAAATTTCATCACAAAATTATCTGAACACAAAAGTAAACTATATTGTATTAGACATTGTATCAACTATCTAATGAAATTGGTTTTACCAAAGACGTTTTGATGGTTTTTTTTTAACTCTAGATAAGTAAGACGATGACTATTTTGAGACGTCGCTGTGTGTTTTGTGTGTCGCTGATTATTTGTTACAACAACAATTTTAATATTTCGGTAAACTGCAAAACCATAAATTATCAGAATGTGTATATTGGCATCTATTTAATGTTTTTAATTGTATTGTAAATGGGCATGGATCATTGAATTGTAGGATATTCAACACCGTTTACAAACGCCTAAAACACTACAAGAAAAATAATGGAAGTATGTCACTGTTGGCCAGAAGGCCGGACGATCACCTCGTCTGGTTGATGGATTCTTCTTTTTTACTTCTTTAAAAAACGTTGCCCCACACTAGGTGTTTATCCTGTGTCTTAGTGACGTGGGCAAACATTCAATTTCACTCAAAGTTCACGCCTAGACCCGAAACAACAACTTGTGGATCATAAAAAAAACCCGTGACAAGTTGCGCGGTAGCCGATTGCCCAGCCACTACAGCAGCCTAATTAACCTTTTTTTATGGTATAAATCTACAAACGAGCAGACGGATTAGCTTATGGTAAGCAATCGGCGCCACCCATGGACACTTGCAACACCAAAGGAGTGCGTTGCCGGCCTTTTGTGGATAGGGGTTGCGGATATAAGGATCGGGCAGAGATAGGGGAAGGGGCGGAATTGGGCCTCCGGTAACCTCACTCACACGGCGAAACACAACGCTGTGGTTGTTTCACGCCTGTATTCTATGAGGCCGTGGTATCACTCCGGTCGAGCCGACCCATTCGTGCCGAAGCTTGGCTCTCCCACACTTAACCTGCTCTTACCTTAGGAAACTTTAGTCTCTATTCAGTAAAGTAGTTAATAGCATTTTAATAATTTAGGAACGTAAATGTTGAATGGTAATCAGCACGAAATTTTACGTGCGCGATGTCGGATTTGTGACGTCACCCGTTGATTGAAATCGTCGCTCTTCTGGATGCGACGAAACTACACTTTTAGCGCCTTTGTTTTTTATTTTTTTCTAAGAAAATGTGGTTAAATTTGAAGCAGTATGCTTTTTTCACGTCACTGTTTTTGATATTATTTAGTAACTAGATAGATAGATAGTATAGGCACCGCTTCAAAACGTACACATTTCTCAAAGAAAAAATGTAATAAAGTAGTAATACCGAGCATTTTGTACATTGTCAAATATAATGTCTCATAGAGGCGGTGACCAGTTTGTACGTAAAATAAAATGATTAAGTATTTTCTCACAGATTAAAATCTTTCTTGGACTTTCACAATTAATATTTCAGTGAATTTACCAAATTGTTACCACCGTTTTCATGAGATTTAGCGAGGCTAAATGAAAAGGTAACTAGTTATTAAACAAAATATTTGCCTGCTAAAAACTGCTAAAAACTTTCTGCATTTAACGTCATCCTATCACGTACCCCCTAGTCAAAATTATTTTTTAAATAAAATTTTGAATTTCAAATAAAGATTTGAAGATATACATCGTCAGTCTGTCAGTGAGACCTATTAGTATAACTTTGTGATCGTGTCCTTACAATAAGGAAGTAGTTGGTAAATTGAAAACCATGTATTATAGTTGCATGTCTTATATATAAATAAATATTATACACTATTTACAACACACGTTCAAAATCACATCCAGTCATAGTTGCACTAAAACTAGAGATGTATTTAGTGGTGATGAGCGAGGTACACGGGGGCGGCGTGCACGGCGTGCGCGACTGGGGCGGGCGCGTGGTGAGCGGGAGCGGAGTTGGAGACCACCGCGTTGAAGCCGTTGTGGTCGTCGGCGGTGTACTGCACGCGGCGCACGGAGCCGTCAGCCTCCACCAGCGAGTACTCGCCGTGCACAGCGTCACCGTCGCGGGACTCCTGCTGGGACTTGTTGTCGCCGGTGTGTCCGTCAGCCACGGAGTACGAGAAGTCGTATTTGGGGTGAGCCTGAAGCAAACACAATATTAATCATATTGAGAAAATATTAACATCACTACATAGTAAACAACAAAGTTGCTTTCTTTATCCCTTTATCCCCATGTATGCTTACATCTTTAAATCTACACATCAGACTTTGATGCGGTTTTCTAATATATATGAATATATATGAATGTGATTTAAGGGGTAGGATTGTAGGGTACATCCATTAATTGGTGGAGAAATTTATTATCAGCATCACACCTGTACGAAGCTGGATCGGTCGCTAGTGATATATAAATATAATTTGAGGCACTTGTACTCGTATAAAGTTGTGGGAAGCTAAGGCCTCGTTTACGGCTACTTTGTGTGGGAAAGGTTGTAGCTGAACAGAGATTGATATAATAATGTTACTTAATAAGAATGCACGAGTAGTATAATAATAAAATAACTTTTGCACGTACGTATTCTTCAGCGTGGGCGGAGACGAGGACCTTCTGGGCGGGAGCGATCACTTTGGCGACGGGAGCGGCGTAGTGGACGGGAGCGGCGGCGTAGTGGACGGGAGAGGCGGCGTAGTGGACGGGGGCAGCGACGTGAGCAACGTGCGCGGCGGGGTGAGCCTCATCGTGGCGTACGATGCTCTGGGAGGAGACGGCTCCAGCTGGGGAGTAGTGCGCCGCGGGCAGCAGACCAGCCGCGGACACCGCCAACACTGCGCTCAGGGCAACGATCTGTGCACATAAATAAATAATATGAATCACTTCATTTTTCACAAGCTAATCATTTTCTTAAAAAGGCAAAGGCACTTTCTTTTCGGATATTTGGAATTAAGCACTTACTTTGGAGAACATGTTGATATGTAAGATATACACAACTGATGCACTGTATGAGTTAAGAGCCGCTTATATACCAGTAGAACATTGGGTGTGACAAGGTCAACTGGCCAAAGCTGTTCTAAAAGTTTAAAGCTCAACGTTCAACGTGTATGACTAATTGGAACAATTGAAGATAATCTTACAAACAATAGCTCGGAGATTTGATTGCAAATTTCATTGTTTGTATTACTGACGGTTTCTCCATTTAAATTTATAATTATGCGTGCTCCTGTAGCTAAACCTCTGTGAAAGAAAATGCGTATTAATTGATGCTTATAGAAAAATTTAAAAGATGTGTTTTCTTAAATCTAGTGATACATTTTTTACTTTACCATTCATAATTAGGGTCTCAGTAATATGTATAAGGAATTGGAGACGGATGGATGGAACGATGGAGTTTCTTGTTAGTTCTTCTCCATTCGATTTTATCATTTGGAACGAGCACCTAGCTTCACTGTCGAACAGACTGACTGACTACTATTCTGTTTTGACATCTGAAGTATCTATTTATGGTTTAGTTGTAATAAGTTATTTTGATTTTGACTTTGAAATTTCGGAATGATTATTGACATGTTCAAAAGCGAGGTTTTACAAACAAACAATTTTATACATATGTATACAATGAAGGGACAATATAATACACTGTCTTAGCCAAAATCTATCCGTCCAAATGTCACAGCCACATTTTCCCGAAACTATAAGTAACTATACTGTTGAAATCGAATAAGATGATGTATTGTATTATGTGAACAGCATAATATTTTAATACCAAAATCAACTTTGCAAAGTTGAATAAGAATAGAGTTATTTTGAATATGTCATCATGGGTTTTCTTCTACGTAAATCAAACAACATTAAATATGATTGAGAATAAATATTTATTTGTTTAAATTATTATGCGTAGGTATGTTTACAACGAGTCCTTAACAAAATAAGAAACAGGAACATGAAGAATTTAGTGGTGATGCTCAATGTGCTTCGTAGTTTGCTTGACGGCGGCGGAGAAACTGTAATAAAATTTCAATCAATTAAGTAATTTTTATTAATTTCTGATTTTTCTGTGATATTTTTGTGTTTTATTGAATGAATAAATCTTCATTTGTATAGATTTCACTATGGTAAAATATGTTATTAATGCAATTCATTGCACTCGTTCATATTAGTTTTTATAAATACATGCAGTTTTTACAGTATAGATTAAGTCTGATATAAAAGAAATCACTATTTAATTTTATTAAGGTTTTTTTAATTAATTCATGTTTTTTTTTGAATTGATGTCAATACATGAGTTTTAATGTATAATTTTAAAATTGACATACCCGGCGTGCTTGTCAGCTGCGTACTCCACGGTACGGATGGAGCCATCAGCCTCGTGCAGGCTGTATACTCCCTTCACTTTGTGCCCATCACGGTGCTCGTGCTGGTACTTGTGGTCACCAGTGTGAGGGTCTTTCACTTGGTATTCAAACTCATACTTAGCAGGACCCTGAAAAAATACATATTTTTATATTTATTCATTTAAGCTATTGTCATTTATTGTACAAAAACAAAAAATCTACGAACAGATTGGTCGTCAAAGTCCTTGGGGGGTTGGGCGGGAATGTCATGACGGGAAATATGTTGTGAAGAGATAGCGTGCTTGTGTTCTTCATGAGATTCCTTCTTATGTGCGCTCTGCACATAATGCGCTACGGGAACAATTTTTGAGGCAGCAGCCACAGGGATTATTTCGACATGTTTCTCGACCACTGGGATGATTCTGGCTGGTTTATACTCTACGTTTTTAGGCTCAACTTTCTGTTCTTTTTTGGGGTCAGGTTTCTGTTCTTTCTTGGGCTCAACTTTGTGGTCCTTTTTGGGCTCGACTGTGTGTTCAATCTTATGCTCAACAAAATGTTCCACTTTATGTTCTACTGAATGTTCAATTTTGTGCTCTTTCTCAGGCTGAACTTTGTGATCGTCTTTGTGTTCTTTTTTGGGTTCAACTTTGTGCTCCTTCTTAGGCTCCACTTTGTGCTCAACGTTGTGTTCTACTTTGTGCTCGTGATGCCCATGTTGCACTTCATGTTCGTGATGAATCTCATGTTCGTGATGCAACTCGTGACCGTGATGTTCGTCGTGGTCGTCATGGTCATGGTAATGACCTAGGCCGTGATGTTCATCATGTCCCTGGTGGTGGTAGTCGTGGTGATCATCGTGGTGAAGGACAATGCTTTGTGAGGAATAAGCATGTTCCACAGCTTGGCAGGCGCCTAGAAAGGCGACGAGAGCAATAAACTGTGAACAAAAGAAAGTGATTGTTATAGTTTTGTAAATACAACATTATTTGTATTTTTTTATAATATTTGTTACTACATAAATATTACTTTTATAAACATTTTTGAGTTGTTGGTTCCAATTGTCTCTGAAGTCCTGTGCTTGACTGATGCTGAAGTAAAATTGATTGTTCATTATATACTGTTTAATGTGTAACCAGATCGTTTCAAAGGCTTTGCGAATCCGGTTTTCACTACTTTTGCCCCGGAATATGCCATTTCGGTGTATGAAGGGCAGTGACTTTCGTCTTGGAGATATTTTTGGAAACACAAGACTTGCATGTCACGTAGGTCGTGGACGGTGTTATTTAATCAATTATGTTGGGCCGTGGTTGACCGCGTAAGCAACCGGTTTTAAATTTTCGGTCAGTGTGTACAATGTCAGCGCAATTATTCAATATACGTCAGGCGCTTTGAGTCATAGCCATGAATATTAATAAACTCTCCATTTTTAGTGACATTTATTCAGGATATTTAAAGAAATATTATTTAAATATATTCTAAAAAATAATCGATAGATGTTGAAATCTATAATATAAAAATGAATCGCAAAATATGTTAGTTAGCGCATAACTCAACAACGGCTGGGCCAATTTTACCTAATTCCTTTTTTGTTGTGTTTGTTACAGCCAGGAGATTGTTCATATGAAAAAAAATTTGAAAAATAGAGAGAGGATATGTGAAAAGAGGACCCTTTCGTCGTTAGCGAGATAGTTGCGAGACCCATGCGAATCAGAACAGGCCGCTGGTTTTAAATATATAGGTCTAAGTGTGGGAGAGCCATGTTTCGGCACGAATGGGTCGGCTCGACCGGAGTGATACCACGGCCTCACAGAAAACCGGCGTGAAATAACCACTGCGTTGTGTTTCGCCGTGTGAGTGAGGTTACCGGAGGCCCAATCCTTCCCCTTCCCCAATCCCTCCTCAATCCCTATATCTCCAAATCCCTAATCCCTGAAAGGTCGGCAACGCACTCGTAACTCCACCGTTGCGAGTGTCCATGGGCGGCGCTGATTGCTTACCATCAGGTAATCCGTCTGCTCGTTTGCAGACCTATTACATAAAAAAAAAAAAAAAAAATATGATTGCTAAAGTAAGACTTTGGCAATTATATATATACCACATACGATTGGATCAGAAGAACTTTTATTGTTTCTTATTTTTACAGTAAGTGTAAAACATGTAGAGAACTTAGATTAAGCGGTCACACTAAATAACTTTGTGTCACAAACCTCATAGGTATAAAGGTATTAAGTTTTTATTGCTATAACAGAAAATCACTATATACTTACCCAAATATTCAAAAGACATGCGTAGACGCCATAATCTTGGATTTCATTGCAGGTTAATTATTCTCATGGTTAACTTAAATTTCGTATGAATGAGCTTTCACCAAAATTTATAAAATTAAAATGTGAGTGCATTTTCTTGGAATCAAGTTCAAGACCTTGTGAAAAATAAATGCAACAAATTCCATCATACAGTAGGTATAAAAGGTATAATCAGTTTCGAAATAAATACTCTCCGTAACGATTTTATTGAGTCAACTGCTGTTTTATTTTTTTTTTGAAATATGTTGAACTTCTGTTGGTAAGCAAACGGCGCCACCCAGGGGCACTCGGAACGCTAGAAAGATAAGAAATCTGGTGATCAAGGATTGGGAAGGGACGGGGGAGGAGACGGATTGAGCCTCCGGTAACCTCCTTTACATGGCGTAACACAACACTCTGGTTGTTTCACGCTGATTTTCTGTGAGGCCGCGGTATCATTTTCATCAAGCCGATCCATTTCTGCCAAAACATGGCTCTCCGACACTTGGTTAATTCTTGTACTTCTATTGATTTTAACATCCATAATAAGGAGGATTTTAAATTGTGAAATTTATGATTGTCTGTGTTAAGTTTCTTCCAGGATCCATTTTAATGAACCAACCTCCTGAAAGCGAATTTTTTTGTGGTTTATTATTAACAAGTTATATAATATTACCTAGACCTCGTGTCTAGGTCATCTATTAAGCGGTTGCCCTGGCTGTCGTCAGCGCAAGACAGCAAGAAGGTAACAATCATGCTATTTTCACATCAAGAAAAAAAAAAGATAAATAAGAGGTCTAAGAAATATCACGATGAATGCTTCAAAGACGCCGACGATACTGTGTCGTATGCACAGACTTTGCTAGTCCTATGGTGCTGTCAGGATATATAGATTATGGATTGCTATGTAGACTTTGTAAGTAAAATGGGCTCAAAATGAACACCCGCAACAACGGAGAAATTACGAGTGTGTTGTCGACCTTTTGTGGATTAGAGATTTGGAGATTTTGGGAATATGGGAGGGATTGGGGGAGGCGAAGGATTGGACCTCCGATAATCTGACTCACATAACAAAACACAACGATGTGGTTATTTTACGTTGGTTTTCTTTGAGGCCGTGGTATCACTCCGGTCAAGCCGTACCATTCGTGCTGAAGCATGGCTCTCCCACTTATAGCATTTCTAAATATAAGATAGGTGTTTATCACTGAAAGTTCGTTCTTCGGGCGTTCTTCCTTTTATTATTTAATATTAATTATTAATTTGAGTCTTTTAATATTGAGTCTGACTCATTATTACTGTACTGACTGTGTACTGACTGACAAGCAAAGTATTATAAAATAAACTCTAAAATATTTCATTTGATGGCATTTTAATATTTTTTGTATTTGTTTGTTGCTTTCGATTCAATTTAATGTGTTTAATTTGCATAATCTTGCAGATTCCACGCCATCGTGAAATATGAGGGTCACGCCAAGCACGTTATTTCTAATCACAATCGACCTTCATTTAACTTCTAATTAATATATGTCTGATATTTTTATGATAAGTTGATGTTTCTTTATTGTTTTGCTGATTAGTTGTTGTGATATATGTATTTAACCTAAGAGAGATGGTGACTTTTGATAACAATTCAAATTTATTTGTGATTTTTTTCAATCAAGATGTCTTATGAGTATTTTTTTAACATATCTAAGTTTTAAGCTTAACAGTAAGGTTTTACTGTGTTTTGTATTAAAAATCAAATTCATTTAATGTAACACGTGAAACAGGAATTTGAAAAAATAACCAATTGATAATGTGTATGCTTCTTTAATAAAATTATAAAAATAACAAAAACGTCAATAGGTAACAAAACGTCTTTTAACAAAATCAGATCTTTAGGAAATCTCCAATGACGGTTAATGATGATGAGGTTCGATATGGTGAGTGCTGTGCTTTACGTCTGCGTGGAAACTGGGGGATCGACAAAACATGTTTACTATGGGAAGAGACTTATGGATAAAATAATACAAAAGAACTTAATATATTATATTCGATGAAAGTGAACGTAACTTACCCGCTGTGGTGGTCGCCATGGTAGTGCACGTCCCTGACGGAGCCGTCAGGCTCGTGCAGTGAGTAGTGGCCCTTGACGACGTCACCGTCGCGGTGCTCGTGCTGCGATTTGTGGTCGCCCGTATGGTCGTCGTCCACTTTGTACTTGAACTCAAACTTAGGGTGGGTCTGAAAAAAAACAAATATTACAGATGTTGAGTACCTTTCATCATTGTCATTAAATCAGCTGTAAGATATTCATCCCTGGACAAAGGCCGTTCTTGAGAAAAGGATCTAATCTTCTTGATAAAGGATTTTAAGGAGAAAAGGATCTAAAATCTCACATATGAGGAGCGGGTCACGCATTAGGATTAAAGATACTGCCTTCGTACTCTTCAACATTCCGTGAAGTACTAGTACAATGAAAATAATTAACAAGGATTTGGTATATATTATCACTTACATAGTAGTCGTGGTGATCATGTCCATGGTGTACGATCTCGTGCTTCCCGTCTTCTTTGTGGACGTATTGCGATGATGTTCCGTAAGCGGAAACCATCGCAACGCCTACAGATAAAACACAAAGTACCTGAAAACAAAGCTTATGTAAAATAGGTACACGGATTAAATCGATCGAAAAAGAAATCAATTGGTTTTTTATAAGGTACCTTGAAGAACATGTTGAAGTTGTGTTAAAACCTTCTTGCAAGCTGTGAGTAAACTGATACTATACGCTTTAGTGCTTACATCTTTTATATAATTTGGAAGAGTCAATGTATAATACCAATTGTATTCTTTCAATTATGTCGCGTAAGGCATGAGTGTAATGAAATTATCAAATCACAATTAATTTATAGAATTAGGCGTTACTTTGCGGAAATCCATGACATTAAATGTTAGGGAAAATATTTAGTTTCAATTCCGCGACAAAAATCCAGGCTTGTTGCAGGATGCAATCCCACTCCTATGCAATCATGCATATGCACATGCAGCAAGGGTCCCACCCTCCCGCCCACATGCATATGCACACATACACAAAACGGAAAAACATGCCACGCAATCAAACCTATACTCGACACGTGTTTCGCCCCTCCACAGGGCATCCTCATTTCGCTAAACATTTAATTGACACCGGCCATTCCTTGAGCGACAATAACACGTATACTATTCTGCATGTCTGTGATAAAAATTTCCGGTTGTGTGTGTTGGAGCAGTTAGAAATCTCCAAACATAATAATAATAGTAATTTTACACTGTTGAATGAGCAAACAAACTTAATTAGATCCCCTCTTTTAAGTGTGATTACAGGTAGATCATAGTCGATGCAGGCGTCACAATGACGTTTGTGTCGATTGTATCGATTGTGTAATTGATGCAATCGATACAAAGACGTTTGTATCGATTATGTGTCATCACGACACTATATAAGAGGCGAGAGCTGTCGTACTAGCTCATTCGCAGCCGAGCGCTCGTCGAGTCAACATCTCCTGAGGATGCCCTGTGGAGGGGCGAAACACGTGTCGAGTATAGGTTTGATTGCGTGGCATGTTTTTCCGTTTTGTGTATGTGTGCATATGCATGTGGGCGGGAGGGTGGGACCCTTGCTGCATGTGCATATGCATGATTGCATAGGAGTGGGATTGCATCCTGCAACAAGCCTGGATTTTTGTCGCGGAATTGAAACTAAATATTTTCCCTAACATTCAAATCACAATTGTTTCGTAAATGGTATAACTCATAAAAATATAATTTCCTTTTTAGTTGTATGATGTAAGGTTCTTTGAGGCTTTTGTTATAATGTATTTGGAAATAATGTTAGTTGCGTTAGGTATATTGTGATAGCAATAATATTTTACAAAGCACATTGCTCGATGAGTGGAAAACTATTCTGATGCTTTACATAAATGTATGTCCCTTCTCTAAAACCATTTTATTAATGTCAATATCCTCTTTTATAACACACGTCCCGTCTTGTTATACAAAAATTGCATTAATGTTTTTTTATATAAAAATTTAATCTGATTCTTCCTAACTAAAACATCCAATTGCGAGATTTTTTTTTATTAAAACAAGCTGATCTTGTTCCTCTGGGTAGTAATTAGTTTGGTTGACATGTCTATGTTTACTGCAACCTTCAGAACTGTTACATTAATGAAATGCCTTTCTCTGAATATTTTAAGAACGCAGTACTGTGCTACTTACTACTGTTGCTATGCAATTATTGATAATATCTGTGTCATTACACATTGTTGTGTCGTGCAAGTTTCTAACTAATCAATCCAAAAGGTTTTTCGGAAAATGCTTTGTAAAACATGATATGTTATATTAAATATAATAAGTTATTTAAATGTGGGAGAGCCATGTTTCGGCGCGAATGGTCGGCTCGAGCAGAGTACCACGATCTCACAGAAAAACCATCGTGAAACAACCACAGCGTCGAGTCTCTCTGTGTGCCTGAGGTCTCCGGTAACCTTGCCCTCCCGTCGTATTTCCTGAATCCCTAATTCCCCTAAAACCATATTAGATACTCCTGAAATCTAAAATATCCGTTACATAAATAATAATATATATTTCTTTTCATTCGCATGTGTTAGTTATAATATAGTTTCAATTATACATCTACGTTAAAAAAAATATGTCACCGATGAGCTGCATGACAATAAAAGAAAAATACAGATTTCCATGTGTTTTATTACGTCATTAGAAAAACAAGCTATCATAAAGTATTACAGTTACAGTTCTTTGGAATTTAGTAATGATGATGATGATGAGGCACGATGTGGTGAGTGCTGTGTTTCACGTCCGCGTGGAAACTGAGGAGAGAGACAAAATACAGTAAGTATGGGGTTGTCATTTATAACAAAGGCTCATATGTACGTTAGGAAAAGCTTCCTCACCCGCTGTGGTGGTCGCTGTGGTAGTGCACGTCCCTGACGGAGCCGTCAGGCTCGTGCAGCGAGTAGTGGCCCTTGACGACGTCACCGTCGCGGTGCTCGTGCTGCGACTTGTGGTCGCCCGTGTGATCGTCGTCCACTTTGTAGCCGAACTCGAACTTTGGGTGAGTCTGTCAAGCAAATATTTATTGATGTTAATACAATGAAAAACATTTTTTAACGAAAGCACTTTATACCAAAAATTAGACCAAAAATTCCACTTACATAGTAATCATGGTGACCATGCCCATGGTGTACAGGCACGTGGTGTCCGTCGTATTTGTGGACGAACTGAGAGGAGTGTCCGTGAGCGGATACCACCGCGATGGCTACAGAAAATACGCAGAACACCTGAAGAACACAAAAATGTATTAATTATGTTCTAAGTTTACTTACCTTACTATGGGATCGATAGTAAGCGGTCTATAATACAGTTATTTTAAATTTTATAATTGGAAGTTGTTTTTTTTTTAATTTCTTAGAATTATGGAAAGTGGTAAGAAATACCTTAAAGAACATCTTGTAGTTTCGCTAATGCTTTGTTACAAGTCCAGGTGTGAACTGATACCATAACTTGTAATGCTCACGTCTTTTATATGACTTAAAATAACGCAGCCAAGGTAGTATTGATTTCTCTCAATTATGTCGCATACTGCATGGGTGTAATAAACTGAACAATTGTTTCGTAAAAGCTATTAAAGACATAATTTACATGTTTAGTTGCATGATGTTAGGTCATTCGTTGTGGCTTGCTTTAGGTACAATATTTTTTTAAGTATTGTTCGTTAAATTTTATTATGCTTATTTTGTATGTTGTATTCCACTTCACAGGGTTCCGGACTTTTGGAAGGCGTACGAGGGGCCGAAGCCAACTCGCAGAGGCCCTTTGAACTACTTTAAGTGAAATGGGACATCAGCCGGCAATTATTCCTATATGACAATCCTCGGTTGATGCAGAATTATTGTGAAATGTGGTAAAAGTTGATGGGTTATGAATAGGTATGGGTTGTTATGGACTGGTGGATATGATAACTATGGAAATACTAGGTATGGTCCCTGCCCCTGACCAATGTTGACACATGCGGATAAACAGGCAGGGGGTGACTGGCAAACTCAATTAATGGGCCCCCGGGAAACGGGCGCTAGCATGTAGCGACACGGGGGCAACATACGTTGAGCTGCTTGGGGAAGGAGAGTCATCCCACGGCTATCAGAGCAATCCCGGAAGTACGGTTAAGACCCCTACCAGCATCTTACTGAGAAACATCCTTCCCCCGAGTCCCTTCAACTCCTACTCTGCTTATTATAAAATATATTATAGTTATAGGTTTTCATTTTGTAAGTCATTGTATTAACACAGACAGGACCCTATAGGGCTGATGTTAAGCCAGGGTTGCAGGGCAAGCGCAATAAAACACCGTGACAACGGCCTAGAGTAAGTGAGGGAACGGGGAGGTTTCCAGTCAGTACGAGTCTAATACTTCCTCTCCCCCTCCTCCCTCCGGGGCGAAGTAGAAGAAAAGTCTTTGATCACAAAAAACATAGTTGCATCAAAAGACGTATCCCTATTACATTCGGACACATACGCACAGGTATCACTGATGATCTATTGGAAATTACACATACCGAATCACGTGGTTTGGATTACTAGGAGCTGTGCAGAATTGACATGAAACAACAAAGTCAAAGTCAAATCATTTATTTCAAATAGACCGCTATAAGCACTTTTAATAGTCAAAAAAGAAAAAATTGACAGTTAACTTTATTAGAAGCTATTTGCTCGTTCCAAAGTGTAGCTTCCAATGGAGAAGTACGAGAGATTTTTCGCATATTATATTCGTCGTTATGTTTCATCGCAACCGACTTCCTAGTTGTAAATTAAATCGACTTCACACCATAGGGTTACCAGCACAGAGTTTGTTATTTATACACCGCTAAAGCTCTACCCCTATTATAAAGCTGGTAAAAATCCGGTGTTGTAAGTATTTATTTATTTAATTATTCATGTACAAAAAATATGTCAACTTTTAAACACAATTCTTACAATGACAAAACAGGTACAAAGATACTGCATATTCCTAGAGGAATTTCTTCCTGCACACCTGTGACTGGAAAAGTAATAAAAAAGACAAGACAAAATAAACAGTATTGATATAATGTTCAATGCTCACACAATGTTGAAAATATTTATTTTCATCAAGACCAGAGAGAGTCATCGTTCAAAAGTAAGTACCTATTTATGGTTTAGTTGGACTAAATGATTTTGACTTTGACATCTAGGAATAAAAGGATGGACGCTAACCGTGCAGTCAAAATAACAAATAAAAACATTTCAATTAGGTAGATATGTCATCCTTCTATAAAAAAACATAAATACATAAAAGTAAAAAAAAAAACACATTATAATTATACAAATGTGTATTTTATTTAGCATAAAAACAAACAACAAATTTCTTAAATTATTATTTTAACGATTTAAAAATATCACAGAATTAGTGGTGGTGCTCAGGAACTATATGTTTAGCGTGACCCTCACGTCTCACGTTAGCATTGAATCTGTAAATTGCAAGTAAAAAATATTTATTAGACAAGTATCTTTTGAAAACTACCATAACTAAGTAGTTAATAGAGACAATAGTACAACTTTACTCACCCAGTCTTCTTATCAGCGTGGTACTCGACGATCCTGACAGTACCGTCGGGCTCGTGCAGACTGTACACGCCCTTCACGACGTCACCGTCGCGCGCCTCGTGCTGGTACTTCTTGTCACCGGTGTGAGGGTCCTCCACTTTGTACGCGAACTCGTACTTAGGGTGAGACTGTAACGTAGGTACAAGATCACATAAGGCTATTTTAAGTTTAATGCTACAATCGAAAGGTAGGTAAAAGTGATAAAGTCTTCTCCTTACATAGTATTCGACATGTTTTTCAGTAGCTTTTCCATGATGCTGCTTGATGCTCTGTGAGGAGGAGGCATGACTATGGTGGAGGTCGTGACCTCCTTGGGACTGCGCGGTGGCCGCAACAACTACGGTGGCGATTAGTACAACCTGCATTAAACCACTAATTAGATAATCCCAAATTTCACTTCTATATTACTTCACTTTAATATCATTTCACAAAATACAATTAAAATTATTACTGTCAATTATTTCTTATTGATATCTACCTTTAAAAACATTGTGAGAACGAATAAATCCTTTCGGAGCACGCTTGTAACTGATTCAAAAATCACAATTGTGTCTTTTTATACAAAAAGTATGAACGCTAACTGAAGTTGCCCTCATTCAGGGAATATTTGATTTAATCAAGCTGAACTTGTTCCGCTGGTAAGTAACTGGTTCGGTTGACACTTCTATATTTATTGCAACCTTCACAAATATTTCATTAAAAATGCCTTTCCCCAAATATTTTAAGAAAGTAATTCCATGTTACTTTACCTCATTCATTGTTGCTATGTAATTATTACCAACTGACCTCGAGTGACGAGTTATCAATCTGAGAGATTTTTTTGCACATGTAAACGTAGGTACTAAAATTAAAAAAAATATTTTAATTCTTAGATATAAAGATTTTAAAGGACACTGAGTAAAAAAAGGTAAGTACCTATTATCGTTATGAAGAGGAAGAAAAATATTTCATAAAGTAATTAAGTAAATCAAAATGTTTCCCTTATTGGGTGTTAACCAAAGAACATCTGTTTTTTGAATATTGTTCTGTAGGTATCCGCATCCTGTAATACCCAACGGATAGCAACCCAGATGAAGACCTATATATCGACTACATTATAACATTAATATAGCTATACATATACCTATTACATATTTTATTTGAATGATTCCAAATAGTTTAAGGTTTTTTCGAAATATTAGTTATTCTTATTTTTATGATTGCATGTGTTCGGTTTTTCTTTACGTATTTAATCATTGATATATTTATATTGATCTTGAGTTGTCTCTAATTGAGACTTGAAATAACATGTATTATAGGTATACATTAGACTTGTTACGACATTGTATATATAGGTATTGCTGTTAAAAATTATAATATAAAAAATAAATAATCTAATGAAATGGAACGAAAGTTAGGGAGCGTCCATGAATTACGTGAGGTGTTTAAGGGGGGGATGGGGTCGAGCCAAATCTCATCTAATCTTACGTTGGAGAGAGAAGCGAGTCTCGGCAAATATCATGCAATTTTTTTCTGATTGAAACAAAAGTGTGGGAGAAGTTTTAAGTGTGGCAGAGCCAAGCTTCGGCACGAATGGGTCGGCTCGACCGGAGTGATACCATGGCCTCACAGAATACCGGCGTGAATATTTTGATCTATTTAATCCAGATTGTACATGCTTAAGATTTCATCTTAAGAGTAATCGTAGTACCTACGATTAGGATTATTTACTAATAAAAGGGCGATGCAGATTTGCTTTTTCTTTTTACAATAACAATCCAACGCGTTTACGTAAGAAACTCACATTTTGAAAAATCTCACGTGACATTCGGGATTGGGGGAGGGGGTTGAATAAAATCCCACGACATCTGACCAGAGGGGGAGCGGGAGGCAGAAAATTTTAAAAAACACGTCACGTAATTTATTGAGGCCCCCTTATTGGAAACGTTGTAGATTTTTTATTGGTTGCCTATATTTACGATTAATTAACTAAATAAAAGAAAAATACAGATTTAATAATTTAAATTAATTACAACGTAAAGGAAAATAACAAAACAGATAAAATTGTATTGTTAAGTAGTAACTTCTTTTCAGTTCTTGGTTTAATAATGATGATGATGAGGCACGATGTGGTGAGTGCTGTGCTTTACGTCCGCGTGGAAGCTGAGGAGAGAGACAAAAAATAACCATAAGCATTTAACAAGTGTCTTCAACTAAAGTACATCATAAAATAGTATGTGTCATCTCACCCGCTGTGGTGGTCGCCGTGGTAGTGCACGTCCCTGACGGAGCCGTCAGGCTCGTGCAGCGAGTAGTGGCCCTTGACGACGTCACCGTCGCGGTGCTCGTGCTGCGACTTGTGGTCGCCCGTGTGCGCGTCGTCCACTTTGTAGCCGAACTCGAACTTTGGGTGAGTCTGTCAAAAAATATTTATAAATGTTAATATAAATACAACAAAAAGTTAAATCACAATTATTAGGTAGATCAAAAATTCTTCTTACGTAATAATCATGGTGACCATGCCCATGGTGTACAGGCTCGTGGTGTCCATCGTATTTGTGGACGAACTGGGATGAATGTCCGTAAGCGGAGACCACCGCAACGGCCACAGATAGTAGGCAAAGTACCTGAAAATTATGTTTTTTTTTTAACAATACGAAATCATTGAATCTAGAATACTAATAAGGAAAGATTATTTCTTCTAATACCTTAAAGAACATCTTGAAGTTTTGCTAATGCTTGGTTAAAAGTCCAGATGTGAACTGATACCATAACTTGTAATGCTCACGTCTTTTATATGATTTAAAATAACGCAGCCAAGGTAGTATTGATTTCTCTCAATTATGTCGCATACTGCATGGGTGTAATAAACTGAACAATTGTTTCGCAAAAGCTATTAAAGACATAATTTACTTTAGTAGTACTTAGTTGCATGATGTTAAGTCATTCGTCGCTTTTGTTTTTTGTTAAATACTGAAGCAAAAGGGAGAAAGATAAGATAACGAATATTTTGTTTAACAGTTAACGTTTTCAAGGAATCTCTCTCATCTGTTGAATAATGTCTCATCAATGTACATAATGGAATATGGTCGAAGTTTTTTCTTTAAATATTTCTTGTATAACGTAATATTAGAGGCTTTCGAACAATGATCATCGTGCCAGCCTATTCGTTCTCGTACCTTGTCGCGGGTGCAAGACGAATAAGGTACCGTGGCCCCGGCCTGGAGCAGTAGAAGAAACGGGCTTATTTATAGTCAGTTAGAGTCTGACACTAATTATTGTGGCATCCCCAAGAGCGGGTTAAGTCATTTGATAATTTTCCGCAGAGCTAAGCAAATAAAACATCAACTTCTACTTCTTAGTTTACTAACAAACTAACAATTTTTTATAGCACATTCAACCCACGGCCTGGAAGGTGGATTTTTTGCTGGAGTCTATAAGACCGGGGTAAATAGGCTGGTTATGGGTTGGTGTGCATCATCGCTTATTACCAGGTGAGATAAGGGCCAAACTTTGGCCAATTGGAAAAAAATGGAAGATGTCCACCATCTTAATGATCTTACTATCCTTACATCATAAATGTGAATGTTTGTGAAAATGTTTGTGTATGTTTGTAATTCCTTCACGTAGAAGGCTAGACGTAGGCTAGACCGTTCTGGTCGAAATTTCATATAGAGCTAACTAAAACTCTGGATTAATACATAGGTATGCTTTTCATCAACATACCTCGCGGAAGCTAGTCTATATCTATACTTCCATACTTATATTATAAAGAGTTATAATTTGTAAGATTGTAAGTTTATAAGTTTGTATGTAGGGGGGTAGTCTTTGGAACCGCTGGTCGGATTGCCAAAATTCTTTCACTGATAGTAGCTATAATGTTCCTGAGTGCTATAAAACATCATGTTACGATCAAATGGAACTGAACAGCGCGTGAAACCGCGCAAGAGTAGCTAGTAGATAATAAAATCAATTTATTAAGAGGGTCTTACAATTTGAAAATATACGACGTGGATGATGGTAATATTATATATTTGTTGACGTTGGTTGTGTATCCACTGGCAACGTCAATTCCTTATCATCAACTGCTTGCTGATTTAACCGTAACCTATAAAGAAGATATTCCACGTTATTATTCAGAGAGAAGTGCGAACTGCTATATAATTTGAAATCATACTCAACAGTTAGGTAGAGCAACGGTCGAGCAACGATGGTTATATATGAAAGTGTCAATGACAGTGAATTTTCTAGTTAAAATGTGGGAGAGCCACGCTTCGGCATGAATGGGTCGGCTCGACCGGCTGATACCACGGCCTTACAGAAAACCGGCGTGAAATAACCGCAGCGTTGTATTTGTCGTGTGAGTGAGGTTACCGGAGGCCCAATCCTTCCCCTCCGCCGATCCCTCCCAATCCCAAAATCTCCAAAACCTTTATCCCTAAAAGGTCGGCGAAGCTCTCGTAACTCTTCCGTTGCGGTTGTCCATGGGCGGCGCTGATTGCTTACCATCAGGTAATCCGTCTGGTCGTTTGCCGACCTATTACATGAAAAAAATAAGTTTCAATTAAATTAAGATGGTCAGAAAAACAAAGTTATTTTCGTAGGCAGGTATTTTAATTTTATTTGTGTAAAAATAGAAAGGGAATTATTCTTATTATAAACACTGTTTCTAGTATTCTGCAACAATTTTTGTGCGAAGTAACCATGACGTGTTTAGCGTAAGCCTCCTGTTTTAAGTTTATACTGAATCTTGACATGAAAGAACTAACGCGTAGTCGCTAGTTGCAGTGTCTATAAATAACATAGTAAGAAGATTGAAAAGACACATAATTGTATAAATTACTAGTACTTTTTTATGGTATAAGTCGGCAAACGAGCAGATGGATTACCTGATGGTAAGCAATCGGCGCCTCCCATGGACACCCGCAACACCAAAGGAGTTACGAGTGCGTTGCCGGCCTTTTGGGGATAGGGGTTGCGTATATAAGGATCGGGAAGGGATAGGGGAGGGGCGGGATTGGGCCTCCGGTAACCCTACTCACACGGCGAAACACAACACTGTGGTTGTTTCACGCCGGTATTCTGTGAGGCCGTGGTATCACTCCGGTCAAACCGAAGCTTGGCTCTCCCACACTTTAATGTACGTTTTAATAATGCACTTTTAAAACATTTATCGGCACCCACACAGTGAAACACAAAATGAGATTCTAGTTTTTTGATGGTTGGGTTACATAAAATGGAATGACAATGATGACCGATGATGAATGACATAGTTATTTTCTCAATACAGTTTATTACAGTTAACTGGCAGGAAAAAAACCTAACATCATAATAATACCCATTTGGTACCAAACATTTATAAAATGATTGTAACAAAATCAGATTTTTAAAGTATCACTATTGATCCAGATTTAATAATGATGATGATGATGGGGCACGATGTGGTGAGTGCTGTGCTTCACGTCCGCGTGGAAGCTGAAAGGAGATAACATATATTAAGTATGGGGTTTCCATTTATAACAAAGGTACATACGATAGGAAATGCTTCCTCACCCGCTGTGGTGGTCGCCGTGGTAGTGCACGTCCCTGACGGAGCCGTCAGGCTCGTGCAGCGAGTAGTGGCCCTTGACGACGTCACCGTCGCGGTGCTCGTGCTGCGACTTGTGGTCGCCCGTGTGCTCGTCGTCCACTTTGTAGCCGAACTCGAACTTTGGGTGAGTCTATCAAGCAAAATGAGTGATAAAGATATTCAGAGAAATTGCATTTTTAGGTATCAATGGTTCAACAATAGTTCAACAATAGTATATCTTACATAGTAGTCATGGTGACCATGCCCATGGTGTACAGGCACGTGGTGTCCGTCATATTTGTGGACGAACTGAGAGGAGTGTCCGTGACCGGAGACCACCGCGACGGCTACAGATAGAAGGCAAAGTACCTGAAAAAAGGTGCTAATTTAGAAAAGAAAATGATCAAATCTGGAATTTGGAACCCTCTCCAGAAATTATATAACTTAATGAAAATAATTTCATATAAGTACCTTAAAGAACATGTTGTAGTTTTGCTAATGCTTTGTTAACAAGTCCAGATGTGAACTGATACCATAACTTGTAATGCTCACGTCTTTTATATGACTTAAAATAACGCAGCCAAGGTAGTATTGATTTCTCTCAATTATGTCGCATACTGCATGGGTGTAATAAACTGAACAATTGTTTCGTAAAAGCTATTAAAGACATAATTTACATGTTTAGTTGCATGATGTTAAGTCATTCGTCGCTTTTGTTTTTTTGGCAAATACTGTAGCAAAAGAGAGAAAGACAAGATAACGAATATTTTGTATTTTGTGTTTGTGTAAACGTTTTCAAGGAATCTCTCTCATCTGTTGAATAACGTCTCATCAATATACATAATGGAATATGGTCGAAGTTTTTTCTTTAAATCTTTCTTGTATAACGTAATATTAGAGGCTTTCGAAAAAGTATGATTACCATGCCAGGCTTTTTTGATGATGTTTGTTTTGTAAATATTGTGTAGCAAAAGGGAGATGGACAATTTTGTTTAACAGTAAACGTTTTCAAAACATCTCGTCTGTTGAAAAATGTGTCATCAATATTAAATGTTAGGTAGAAGTTTTTTTTTGTGAATTCGAACAAGTATGATCATCATGCCAGACTCTTTGTTAATAGTAAGTAGTAAGGTAGCGCGGTTCCGGCCAGGAGAAGGTAAGGCACGCGCTCCATTTTTAATCAGTAAGAGTCTGACACTCACTCTCGTCTTACCCTGGGCATTTGATGATTTTCCCACCAAAACTCCATACCTAACTCAATCAGAGCGCTGCAAAGAAAACATTCTAGTCTTTAAAAATCTAAGAAACTTATTTTTTTTTAATAGCAAATTCGATGTATGCCTTAAACGGTGTAATTGTTTGCTAGAGTGTGCAAGGCTTGAGTCAACAGGTTGGTTGTAGGGTAGGTGTCCATCGTTGGTCGCATCACCGCTTATCATAAGGGCAATAACCGGCCAATTGCCAAAAATTTGAAGATGCATACCATCCTACCATCCATCCTTGTTTGCACCACTAGGGGATGGTAAATTAGTGGACTGTATAGATTTGCTAAGCACGGTTTATTGCCGTTCCAATTACAAATTTAAAGATATCGCGGACAAACAAATAATTAATATTAAAACGAATGTCAACCGTCGTCCGTGATGACCAAGTGCAAACAGGGAAAATACGTCTCTGCCCCTCTCGCTAAGTCCTCGCCGCACCGCACTCCGCCGCGCTGCTCGCCACGATGATTCAGAAGAAGGTTCCCAACCACCCTCTATTATAAATGTGAAAGTTTGTGAGATTTATGGAGGTATGTTTGATAATCATTTAAATAAAAAACAGCTAAAACGATTTTGTTGAAATTCAGTATGGAGCTAGGTGATCCTGGATTAACATATATGTGGTTTTTTATCAACACACCACGCCAGCGAGCCGATCACAGAAACTAGTAAAAATTTAATCAATTTATAGGTTGTCTATTGTGCATATTCAATTGTGCCGGTTTTCTGTGAGGCCGTGGTATCACTCCGGTCAAGCCGACCCGTTCGTGCCTAAAAGCATTGGCTCTCCCACACTTCGATGGATAGGTATGGGAATTAATTTAGCTATTAGTTATTATTATATAAGTGATTGTATGAACGCAATGTAATATTATCAGTTATATCT